CCACGTCGTACTCGCGCACATCGTTCACCTCCTGCATCTGCCCCAGCAGCACTTTGGCCACGAACAGCACGATGTACTGCGGGGACAGGGACAGGGACAGGGACCTCAGGGACAGCCCCGGCACGGGGACAACGGGGCTGTCCCCTCCCCGGGACCGGGTTTGTGACTGGGACCAAACTCCGGGAACTCGGCTGGGTTCATCCCGCGGGAGATGGGGTCAGCAGTTCCGGGCTCATCGCCGTCCCATGGGATCCCTCCTCGCCCCATGGGATCCCTCCCCATCCCCATCCCCATCCCATGGGATCGATCCCTGCCCCATGGGATCGCTCCCCATCTCCATCCCCGCCCCATGGGATCCCTCCCCGCCCCCTCCCCGCAGCTCAGGGCCCATTCCCGCCTCGTTCGCGCCCCTCTCGAATTCCATCCGCCCTTTATCGCTCCCTCCCTGCGGGTCCCCGGGGTGTCAGACGGGCGGAATTCCAGAACAGGAACCTCCCAGGCTTCCAAAACCCCCCTTCCCCAACCCTATATCCCCCTCCTGTCCCCAAACCCCGCTCCATCCCCCATTACCGCCCCAAACCCCGCTCCATCCCCGCAATCCCAGCACGGCCCCAGCGGGAGCAGGGAGATCAGGGACAGGGTGACCCCAATGAGGGTGGCCCCAATGGAGCTGTCCCAATGGAGGTGACCCCAATGAAGATGACCCTGTGAGGGGACGTTCCCCGCTGTCCCCAGCCCCATTTGGGGTTTGGCAGCCCCCCAGGGTGACCCCAATGAGGGTGGCCCCAATGGAGCTGACCCAAAGGAGGTGACCCCAATGGGGGTGACCCCAATGAGGGGACATCCCCCGCTATCCCCAGCCCCATTTGGGGTTTGGCAGCCCCCCATGACCCACCAGGAACCAGTAGATGTTCATGAGGGTGAGCACGAGCAGCAGAGCGTTGAAGAAGAAGTAGAAGGGGATGTCRGGCACGGCCTGGAGGCTGCAGTGGCTCGTGGCGTAGAGAACCTTGAGCGGGAACCAATAGAGCCGGAACCAGAACCTGCGGGGCACAGCGGGGTCAGGGGAAATGGGGGAATGGGGAGGGTCGGGATTGGGATGGGACCATGGGGATGGGGACTGTTGGGATGGGACCATGGGGATGGG